TTTCTAGTAATCTGGATTGCTGAAAATTTTAACTTATTACCAAAAGTGGTGGTTATAAAATCGTCAACCACGAGTTTATTTAACTTTGGAGTCTTTTTCTTTGAAACTTACTTTAATCCTCAAAACTTTACTTTGAAATTACAACCATACAAATGTAGATATTTTAAGCCAAGGTATTTAAGGTATTATAATCCTGAGGTGCAAAACCTGTGATTGTCATCCTTGAAATAAAGATATTTTTACCTTGCCCTTTACCCTTTTTTAACATTTTAACGGACATTTAAGATACACTATACACTTACGTAGAGAGTTAGCGCATGTACTGAGCTTTCAAGTTCATTTTTGAGGATTTCATTGACGGTTTGGTGCCTCTAGAAAATCAATAATTATATTAGAACATTGTTGATATAATTTGCATATGGTGAATTACACAATTTAACTAGTACACTGAAGCTAGGCGTAGTCCGAAGTAATGTGCTAAAAAGTTCAGGGCTAGTGTCCCAAGAGATGAGGGGGAGATGGTGGAGTCTGGCACTACTGAGAGGACATTGAGCCTCTTGGTGTGTGTAAACACATTTTAACCTCCTCTCCACAAAAAAGAAAAAGTAAACTAAAGCTGTACAAACTACACTGTATTAGTATTACTTTACTATGTTAGTGGCCTTTTCTATGTTATCATAACGTAATAAAATTAAAAATGTAGTAATTAAATATCTTTACTAGATACAAAAGGTTTGGAATTGACTACTTTATTTTCTGCCTAAGGTACTGTACGTATATTTAAGTCATTAAATAATTTTCCTTTCTTAAATAATTTACCTTTGACAACTAAAAAATATAATTACACTTTATCCTTTGACTATAGATACAACTTTGCAGTATCCAATAGTCAATGGTATAAGCATAATCACTAATGGGGATATAACCATTGACTATACACAAACTATCTGTTTAGGCAATCATCTAGACATTTCATTTTTTAATTTATAACCAGTTATAGAATAATATCAATTATCGATTTCTCCTGAAATACGACAACTTTTTAACTAGGACAAACTGGAAGGGCAGCTTATTGTAAGCTATACCTTTTGGTTCTGGTTTGTCCTACTGGATTTATGTGCATTTCACCATCGTCAGTTCACATAAGAAATAATCTTGCCTGAAGAGGTGTGTCAAAAGTTCACAAACAAACACATAAAACACTAGTCGACTGTTTTTGGCAGGGCAATATCGATTACGGCAGTTCTTATATGGATCTGACGAGGGCGTTCGCGCCGAAATGCTCATAATCCAGTTGGACAAACTTGGACCACAAGGCAAAAACATTTTTACTTGTCATAATAGCACACTCTGCAACTGGTTCATTTATCTTCTTTTTTTAGGTTGGCTAAAACTCAGTATATATAAAAGGGATATTTTCTTCAACACGTTTGTACTAGCACCACTGGCACGGGACGGGAAATATTGTCCTCATCCTTGCCCAACAAACACCTTGCTTCAGTGTGAGCTCAGCCTCGCATGGGAAACATTGTTTCCGATTGCCGCTTTATTGTGCCAGTTTTATACTTTAAATCCAGTATAATTCGTTTTCAGATACGACTATTATATCAGTGTGGAAGGGATTGTTCTAAATTTAGAGTACTGTGGGGTTTTGACTTGGATTTGGTGAAATGAAATGGAATAATTATAATAATTACTGCAGTGAAGCATTGGAAGGGACCTAACCACAAAATTGTGCTTCGTACCTTTTTGCAATATTTTTTATAGTTCGGGATTTTTTGTCCCTGCTTTTTCATTCAGCAATACCGAGAGCCTGCTGTTTAATGCTGCTATTTGTTGGGTCCTTGTAAAGCTACATCCACAATGACTGAGACGCAGTACATGTGGCAAATATGCCTCTCCTATTGGATGAAACTAAATTTAAACCTTTTCCCACACTCATCCATGCAGCACATTGGCTGCTCCCACCACCGGCCGCAGCCCGCCATTACACGACCGCAGTGAACATGTTAATATACAAAGTCAATGGTGTAAGCTACAGTAATAGGTGTATGAATAAAATGATTATCTTTTACAAATAAACCCACATATAAAATGTTTGCTGACCTTCAGTAAAGGCATGTCAGTGAAGAGTGGAGAGACCACCTTGACGCGGAAGTGTGCCTCAGTGCCGGGTGGAGCTCCATGTTTAAATGACTCGTTGATCACCTCAAGGTGTATCGGCTTCAGCTGCTCAGTCAACTTTTGACGAATGATTGTCTCCACAGGCCCAGACCCCTCTGTATAAGAGTTCTGGTAGTTTTGTATATGTAATTTGATTACTCATTCAAACAGTATTAGAATGAAAGACATGTTTATTTGGTGTAGTTGTTTATGCTTATGATCTGTTTCATTAGGAGATATCCAATATGACAAAAAAAGAGGAACATAGTATTTTAACAATCTGAATCTAACAAAATCAAAAGATAATAAAAAAATCACATTTCATTGATAAAATCACATTTTATTAATAGTAGGGTGACTTGCCCAGTGAATGACCGGTGCCTATGAATGACCGTTTCACTCTAAATCATCTATAATAAGAGTTAAATTAAGACAGGAGTGAAAAAAACTAGTTTAGACAATAGATATTACTCTATTCTTCATATTTAATCGTAATTTTTAATTATTGTTCATTATTTATGTTTATTTTGATGATTTAGCTTGGATATGTTTTGAATTTTCGTTTTTAGCTTCTACCACTATAAGAACTCTGCAGGTAAGGCATACTTCATTACCTTTTTTTTTTGTGAAAAAAACTGTTGAAATGGCGATTTATTTGGCTAATACTTAATATTAAGAGTGTATATCAATCTTAAACCATCTGTTTTCATACGTAAGCCAAAAAATAAGTTTTTTTTTCAAGCAGTCACATACTGGAACAGATTCCAGGGCTAAACCCATGAATGACCGCCCGGTCATTTTTCCTGGGTTTGGACTCAAATTTACAATTATTTACTATCAAAATGCTCAGAAATTATTAAGGAATATAATTATCGATATCAGACTAAAATTATAATTCATTTTCTTTTACCTAACCAGTGAATGACCGGACTTATATCGAAATCGTCCACTTATTTTTCTAGTAAACATTTGTCATTGAAATGGTTATTGATTGGTGTTTTATTTAGACCAGAGTTACTATTTATCCCAATCGAATTTCCTCTTTGGCACTTTAAGACATTTTTCTATCAGCTAATCAGGCCTGCCTATGTTTTCATTGTACACATTACATGTAAAATGTTATATACTTATGATAATGTTTTTATAGCATCAGGCTTTTTCTTTTAAGCTTTGTTAACATTTTAAAACAATATTAATCCCCCTTTTTTGTATATTACTGATTTTATAAGTGATTTACTAAACCTTCCGAAGTCAGTCATTCACTGGCATAGGACTGGTCATTCACTGGCATGACATCGGTCATTTACTGGACTCATGACTCTAGTGTATAAAAAAACAATTTTTACATGCATAATTGATATTTTATGGACAATTTATTATATAGGGCAAACCCTTAAATAGCAACCAAGAAGTAGGTGTAATAATATATACAATTAATACTCTCATTTATGAGCATTGTTAAGTTAACAAAGAATTTTACCCTTAACCGGTCATTCACTGGGCAAGTCACCCTACGAGGCATGTTTTTTTAAGTAAGTACCGTTTTTAAATTTCTCCGTTCAGTGCTGCGATTGGCATTTTTGACATTTGTGGAGTGCAATTGCATCTATTGGCAAGCCTGCGCCAGAAATTCGGCAACAATTGGAGGTGTTTACATCCGGTTTAGAGTATTCAAAATGGTGTCGCCAATTGAGAATTGCCGCCAACTGTGAAGTGCATGCTGTAATTAGATTTTTAAGGGCTAAAGGTGTGAAAGCCATTGAAATTCATCGACAGATTAGGGAAGTGTTTGGTGAGAACATTAGTCGTGAGGGAATGGTACGCAAGTGGGTAAGGGCATTTAGAGAAGGCCGCATCAACGTTCATTAGTGATGTGCGTAGCGATACAGAAATCGATACAAGGACCGCAAAATATCGATATTTCGTATCGATACGTGGGAGTGTATCGATATGCCTGTATCGATACACCTATAGCCAATATCGTATCGAATATCGTATTGTTTATTTATTAATATAAATCTTATTTTTATGATAAGAAATTTGTCTTCCCATCTTCCTCCCCTCAAAAGTAGTAGTGAAAATTTGATATTTTACCCAAGCATCTTCAAAAACACTGGTAAAACATGTATTTTCAGCTATGTTTTACAAATAACCTCAAAACTAGGGCCACCATTAATGGAAGTGGGGACCCTCATTATCCATATTACTGTATACTATTTAATGTGTAAGTGGCATACCTACCATTCATATTTTTTTTGTTATGTTTCTTCAAGGGTAAGTAACGAGCCAAATCAGTTTAACTGAATGTAATAATATCACTGAGAAATTAAATTTGTTGGGATGGGAAGTGTTAGTGTAGTATAGTCAACAATCATTCTAGTCTCAAACTTACAAAAAATTTAAATTTGAGTTGCACATTTGCAAATGTTTAGTGGAAAATTGCATAAATTTTTAATCATGTTAGGTTGCTGGATTTTGTAATAGAAGCTAAATGCAAAAACAGGAACTCTTGTGTCAGTAAAGCAGCACAGACACCCCAGTAATACTTTAATCCTTTACTTTATTTAAGAACAGTACACTATAAGCACCAAAACTCAGAAAGATGGGAGAATCTTAACAAAGGTTTATAGACTACTAATCCATTTTACAATTGAAATAAATAAAAGCTAATTTAAAACAACTTATCCTGACCACAAGGTGGTGTTGATATATGTAAAAAATAGAACCAACAATTTTACAAATGGTCATTTTCCTTTGACAGCAAAGTTTGGTTTGAAATTATAAACCACACAGCAACAAAATACATGAATTACAGTAGAGCTAATAAACTTGCTTACCTCTTGAGGTGGTTGTGGGATTGGCGTAGATCCATCCAAGGACTAGGAGGTAAACAAACATAAGTGCACAAGCCATTTTGACACTCAACAAAAATATTAGTGCTTTTATCACGGGAGAAAATATCAGCAAGATAATTATTATTGTGTAGTTTGTCAATTCTAGTGAATAAACATCTGTCCACAGCTCAACATAATCTGATAAGTAAAGTTACGTAATCAAATATAACACGATTTGTGCTCAACCCACTTTGCTGCATTCATTTTGACAAGTTAAAGAAACTAGTTCTGGACAAAAATGTAAACTAGCCTTACATAAAAGCTTCATACAAAATATATACAGAGTGAATCTTGTAAGGTGTCCACTATTCATTTCAGACAAACCGTTCGTCCCACAATGATTTAATACAAATTTGTCCCACTAAGCCAACTCCATTCAGGAATAACTCATAGAAATATTTTAAAAGTTTTTTGAATACATGATGTACCAAAACTAGAGGTTTACTAGTTCAAATCTCACAATTGTGAAATTCAAACATCCGTCATATAAGATAATACGATACATAATTTGAATGCTCTTGTTAAGTTAATACATTACAGCATATTGGTAGGATCAGAATTTGACATTTTAATTAGTTTAAAAACGTGGCTCTTACTGTGGAACATTTGGTACTATTTTGAATATTTATATTTTTCTTGAAAATGCAGATCCTCTATTCCAAAAACACTTATTATTATTATTATTCCTTGGGGTTGGTTTAAATTTGTATAGTGGGAAAATTGTTATTTCATAATTAATTGCAGAACCAATAGTTTGTCTGAAATCAATAGTGGACATCTTAATTACGAGATTCACACTGTATTTTGGCTTTATGTGATGAAGATAATCTAGGCTATATGTCCGTTTTATTTTAAGCCTGTAAAATGCATACACAGGTTTTTATTTTTAATGTGTGAGAAGATTGTTTAGTATTTCTTCACCCTTTCTACTTTTTAGGGAGATCTTCTACATTTATAGCGTTTCCATTATTTATTTATTTTACATGTTAGCTAAATTTACCCTTATCAGTACCAGTATAAGGATGATAAATAATCAATGCAGTACAGTTTTAAATTTATATTTGTTATCTTCCAAATACACAAATCTCATTCATACTATTTGAAAGAATACATCGTACAAAGTACATGGGAGCTGCTGCTATATTGCACTGGCTTTGTTTTGTGTCTAATCGTCTACAACCACATACAAATACGGTCTAGAGGTATATGTAAAGCCTATTTATAACTGTTCAGCTGCTTTGCATATATAAAAAAAAACATAACTTAACAAGTGCTTGGTTGTTATAGGTACTTGTACACTCAAACAGTTCCTTATAAATAATTGCTTGTAAGATAAAAACTTTGTTGAATCGTGAAAAATGATCGATAACAGGAACATGTTTATTATATTTAGCTTGAATTTAATTTGATCTTCATTTACAGAATTTTAGATGTGTAAAACTACTAAATATGCTCCAGTGCTAATATTTAGTGGTTAGTCAAAAAATCAATTCTGTATGAAATTATTAGACATTTACAACACTCACTAAACACAGTTCTAAGATTTGGGCAAACTACACATTCAAAAGCACTTAACGATTGAGTTGAAAAATTGCATTTACTCTGTTGAAAATTAAATAAAAGTAATTGAAGCCGTAGTTGAATTCTAGTTATTTACAAAAATGTATCCAATGGTTAAATCTACAGCAAACATCACATAAAAGATGGAAACAAATTAATTCTAACAAATATTAAGTTCTAACAATAACGAATATGGGATTATTTATGGCATTTTAAAGCTAAATTAATACAGATACAATGGCATATTCTATAGAATACATACATGTAGAAACATGTGTTTCACACATCCGTTTCGAAAGCAAAAGTATCTCAAATTGAGGTTGAAAAGAAATTTACTTCTCAAAATTAACTAGATAATGTGTATAATTTAACAGTGAGACTATGAGTTTATGATTTAATTTATTCTGAAAGTGAAGTTTGTTACTCATAGAGTTATAGAGAGCTTTAAGTGCAATTAAATAATAAGTGGATTTAAATGCTCAACAAGTATAAACTGTAAGGATAGAAATATAAGACTCTCATGTTCTACTAACACTAACTACACCTAATCACGTAATACATTAAAAGTAAAATAAAATTATATTTGAAAACTACAAAAAATAAATATAAAAAGACAGCGGACGGCTAGTTTTATTATCTACAAAAAACAAAATAAATAATTGGGAATGTTTTCCAAACCAAACTTTTTAAGCAAAATTACTTAAATAATTATCAGATAAAAGTACAGTCGCTTAAGAACTGGTTTTGCCATTTTGAAATGAAATATAGGCATTTACAGCAGTCAAACATAAAACATCAATAACAGAATATCAGTTACTCCACCTAGAGTAAGTAAAGCTTATCAAAATAATAAGTACATAGCCTAAACATATGAATACAAACAATTTTCAGCCTATTAACAACATTAATTACTTTAATACGATTTATTCCGAGTGCAAAACATTACTTCATTTCTTTAGTTCTAATGATTTAAAAAATTTGAAATGAGTGAAGAGAGGGATTTTAGAACATGGTGATTTGAGTTTCTACTGTAAGCGCCACGGTCCTTTGATTCCAACTGTTGGTCGACTACTACATATGTATGGTGGGTCACATCACACACATGCCTCGTTGGTCTGGGGAACACAACAGCTGGAACACAACCCCTCTGTCGCCATCAGACACTGTGAGAGGACCTGGAAAGTGTCAAGTTTAGTTATGTGTATTTAGTTGTGTGTCATTAGCAGGTCTGGAGAACACAACAGTTGGAACATCCCTCTGTAGCAATCAGACACTGTGAGAGGACCTGTAAAGTGTCAAGTTATTAGTTGTGTGTCAATAGCAGGTCTGGGGAAAACAACAGCTGGAATACAACCCCTCTGTAGCCATCAGACACTGTGAGAGGACCTGTAAAGTGTCAAGTTATTAGTTGTGTGTCAATAGCAGGTCTGGGGAAAACAACAGCTGGAATACAACCCCTCTGTAGCCATCAGACACTGTGAGAGGAACTGGAAAGTATCAAGTTATTAGTTGTGTGTCATTAGCAGGTCTGGGGAACACAACAGCTGGATTACAACCCCTCTGTAGCCATGAGACACTGTGAGAGGACCTGGAAAGTGTCAAGTTATTAGTAGTGTCATTAGCAGGTCTGGGGAAAACAACAGCTGGAATACAACCCCTCTGTAGCCATCAGACACTGTGAGAGGAACTGAAAAGTATCAAGTTATTAGTTGTGTGTCATTAGCAGGTCTGGGGAACACAACAGCTGGAATACAACCCCTCTGTAGCCATCAGACACTGTGAGAGGACCTGGAAAGTGTCAAGTTATTAGTTGTGTGTCATTAGCAGGTCTGGGGAACACAACAGCTGGAACACAACCCCTCTGTCGCCATCAGACACTGTGAGAGGACCTGGAAAGTATCAAGTTATTAGTTGTGTGTCATTAGCAGGTCTGGGGAACACAACAGCTGGAACACAACCCCTCTGTCGCCATCAGACACTGTGAGAGGACCTGGAAAGTGTCAAGTTATTAGTTGTGTGTCATTAGCAGGTCTGGGGAACACAACAGCTGGAACACAACCCCTCTGTCACCATCAGACACTGTGAGAGGACCTGGAAAGTGTCAAGTTATTAGTTGTGTGTCATTAGCAGGTCTGGGGAACACAACAGCTGGAATACAACCTCTCTGTCGCCATCAGACACTGTGAGAGGACCTGGAAAGTGTCAAGTTATTAGTTGTGTGTCATTAGCAGGTCTGGGGAACACAACAGCTGGAACACAACCCCTCTGTCGCCATCAGACACTGTGAGAGGACCTGGAAAGTGTCAAGTTATTAGTTGTGTGTCATTAGCAGGTCTGGGGAACACAACAGCTGGAATACAACCCCTCCGTAGCCATCAGACACTGTGAGAGGACCTGGAAAGTTTCAAGTTATTAGTTGTGTGTCATTAGCAGGTCTGGGGAACACAACAGCTGGAATACAACCTCTCTGTCGCCATCAGACACTGTGAGAGGACCTGGAAAGTGTCAAGTTATTAGTTGTGTGTCATTAGCAGGTCTGGGGAACACAACAGCTGGAACACAACCCCTCTGTAGCCATCAGACACTGTGAGAGGATCTAAAAAGTGTCAAGTTATTAGTTGTGTGTCATTAGCAGGTCTGGGGAACACAACCCTTCTGTAGCAATCAGACACTGTGAGATTACCTGGAAAGTGTCAAGTTATTAGTTGCGTGTCATTAGTAGGTCTGGGGAACACAACAGCTGGAACACGCCTCTGTAGCCATCAGACACTGTAAGAGTGAATTTAATATGACGCAAAAATAAACTATTGACTGTTGACTATATGTATGGCTGTTAAAAAGAACTACATCAATTGTTTTTCATAAGGTAAAGAAAAAAGATGTAAATATGTAATAACAGGACTGTTGATATGGACTACAGCCAAAATTGAGAGTTCCGACATTTTTTCAACTTGCTCTTACTACGGAATATTTCCTCAGAAAAGAAGATATTTTCACAATAGACAAAAAAAAAGATAAATCTTACCTGATGGCACAATGATCGCTTATTTAAAAGTCTAAGGGCTGGTCTGCACTGCCCTCGAGGTCTTGGTCTGAATCATCTTCATCATCATCATTGTCGCTGTTGAGCTCATCAACTGGTGGCAGCTTAGCAGCTGGCTTGTTTTTTCCTATGAGAGATTCTGTAAGAGAAATTTTTAACTTTTCAAATAAACGACATAGAACATTGAGATCATTACAGTCAATTTTGTCCAACAACACAATTTTTAATAGGCTTTATACAATATAGCAGTGAAAAATAAAAGTCTGCAACATGATTACTGGCAGTCTAGATTTGAAATCTGCAGAGGGGTTGCCAGAATTGTATACCACTGGAATTTTACCCCCAGAGCAGAGCTGACGTCACTATGACAGGATACCACTCACAATGTTTACCTTTGTGTTGACATAAAAAAACTAAACTTTACATTTAGCACAACCAACTATGTGGTAGGTTTGATCATAGTACAATCACAAGTAGACTTCTCATCTCATTGTAAATTTTGAAGCTCGCTTTTCATGTCTAGTTTATGTCCAGTGATACTGATTGCTAGTGTTAACAAAATTTTGTTTTATTATTTCAGGGTCAATTTCATGATTTGTACTTTATTGTTTGGTTATATAACTAGGGGACAAGTTATTGTTTCTGTTTAGATTGTTTTATTTTGTCAAACAAGATTTTAAATGACTGAAATAACAATAAACAAATTTTAAACAACATAACTAACAATAAAATTGGCTTCAGCTGTTCTATAAGGATGAGAAATCTACTGAAGGGAATATGCTTAATTTATGGTTTGATTTATTTGTTTTAGAATGCGTCATTGATTATGAAGTTAAAAGATTTCACAACATTTTCTTTATCAATCTAGGCTTTGTCCCCAAAATTTCAAAGTGTTGAGGATATGAAAAAAGTGTTAATAAGAAAACTACTATTTGTACATGAATTGAACTATTTTGATATTTTGTTTAACCCTGCGAGTGTTAAGCGTCGCGTAATCGACGCACAACACACCCGCGCTTTTGCGGCACACAAACATCGTTTACGGCGAAGGCTCTGGAACTGACTGAATCAGATTGAACTCAATCGAGATTGGTATTGTTGTTTTCGGCAGATTCTAAGCTTTCTCCTGATGTCTGTTACCAAACGTTTATTATTTTAGTTCCAAAAATATTGTAGCAGATAGATGACGTGCGTATTTGTAAACAACTTGGTTAACCTCGCACCGATGACTGATGTGTTTTTTTACTTTTATCATTGTTTTAGTGTTGAAAATAAAAAGTAGTGCTATACGTGGTGCATTATAAGAAGATTTAAGTGATTTTGAAGGGCTGGTTGATGATCCTGAAGAAGTAGGTAGTGATATTGATTTTAATTAGATTCCTAACTATGGCTATGCATTCTTAGCTAAATGCTAAATGTACGAAATCTGTTTTTCACCCATAGCTTATTTATTTGCAAATTTACCTCTTTATATTACTATATTTTTGTAATTCTTATAAAATTTAGATCAAATTGGCTATTTAAAAATATTTATAGACCTATCTATAAGTATAAAAGAGGATGTTTGTATACATATTTATTTGGCAGTGATAAATTCAGACACCGCTGAACCGATTGCCACGAAACTTGGTACATACGTGTAGAATTTCATGGATTAGGTTTATACACCATCAATTTCATGATCCGTCCAATCGGCTCCGCCCCAGTGGCTCTGGAGTTTCCCATGTTAACCTTATGAGAAATGGAATTAATGAATCTTAACAGCTGTTTCAATTAAACAAGTTGGTTCTGTTCTATGATGTTCAATAGCATTAAAGTTACAAGGATTACCAACAGGGTGCATCAGCACTATTATTTCTTTTACATTTATGACAACAGCTAATTTGCAACCAAAAGGTGAGTGAGCATAGCGAACGAACTGCAACCTGGAGGCGAGTTAGCGTAGTGAACGAGCTAACCTGAAGGCAAGTGAGCGTAGCGAACGAGCTAACCTGAAGGCAAGTGAGCGCAGCGAACGAGCTCCAACCTAAAGGTGAGTGAGCGTAGCGAACGAACTTCAACCATGACGTGATTGAGCCGAATAGAAAGACCAAAAATATTGTCTACCCACTAGCATTAATATAAGAGCAATAATAAAGAATCGGTTATCCTTTGTACTATACAGGGCGACAAAAAAGTCTGGAAACGGCTTGATATCTTTTTAACTAAATTTGTTAGAAAATTCAAACCTTTTACATCAACTTATATGTATGAAAACTACTTTTTGCAAGCATTACAATTTTTATACCTTCACCAGGTGACGGCCCATGAGGAGTAGGTACATAATCTTTAATGTAAGCGTAGGTTGGTATGCACATCATTTTAAAGGTCTGGTCAAGTGGAGTTCATTGCCGGAAACCACGTCAAAAAAGGTTCATCCGTTACAAAATGGCGGCATTTCAAAGTTCTTGCAGAATATACCTGCACAGGCCTTAGTAATGGTAAATACTCATAGTCAAAATTAGCCGGGAAATCTGAAACCCCGTTAAATTTCTTTTGAAGATTGAATAAACTTAGTCTATGAGCTAATTGACTTTAAAATACAATTTCAGCTCTCAAGATAATGTTTAATACGAGTATTTACCAATACTAAGGCCTGTAAAGGAATATTCCACAAGAACTTTGAATAGCCGCCATTTTGTAACGGATGAACCTTTTGAGACGTGGTTTCCGGCAATTAACTCCACTTGACCAGACCTTTAAAATGATTTGCATATCAACCTATGCTTACATTAAAGATTATGTACCTACTCCTCATGGGTCGTCCCCTGGTAGAGGTAAAAATATGAAAATGCTTGGAAAAAGTAGTTTTTATACATGTAAGTTGATGTGAAAGGTTTGACTTTTCTAACGGATTTAGTTAAAAAGATATTAACCCGTTTCCAGACTTTTTTGTCACCCTGTATGTGTTTCATTAGTTGTCGTACGTATTTTAATTTAGTTATAAGCACTTCATATACAATAAGACAATTAAACGTTACGGTACCGTACTTAAATTATAAATAGTCAAAGGCAAGACAACGTCTGCCGGGTTCAGCTAGTAAATTATAAAAATTTATTGAGTGCAAACATAAATTTTTTTTCATTTATTTTATAATTTTTGAGTAATTAACCCCACAAAAATTGTTGAACATTTTTTAAAAATGTTTTATATATTACATTGAAGCCCATAATTTTATAAACAAAATGATATATAAAACAGTATACTTTAAAGTGTTTTTAAGTTTCTAAGATACATTTTAATAAAACCCTGCGATTGCGCAATAAATGGGCCGACATTAATACCATTACTATGGACACTTGGAAGGTTAAAAATTTAATTTGCTTATAAAATGTAATATAAACAGTGCTAAGTAATTGAAAACATCTACAGTACCAATTGTATGGTACCGTAAAAAAAACTTAATTTCATTATTAGGTCATCATGGTCTACGCAATCGAAAGCCTTACTCAGGTCGCAGAGGGTGGCACGAGCAAGTGACTACCTCTCAAAGACCATTAGTACTTCATTAATCAATTTGTATAAAGATATCCTTATATATTATACGTGAAGGCGATTTCTACAAACCACTACTCCTCCGTTAATAATGGACGGATTTTTACAAACTAAGTGTCAAAATTAAGTATTTTTTGTGTAGACCCAATTCCTGTAATAAAAGTTCCGGGCTTTGCCTCACAGGCCATCAAAATCCCATTGTATTTCTTATGAAGAAAAAGTTTTTTTACTTAAACCAACAGACGAATAATTTGTATTAATTATAGCTGTTCATAGCTGGTTGTATGTTGTGTATTAATTACTGGTAGAGTGTGATACAAGAGTGTTCGTTTTCAAAGTGAGTTTGTTTTCAGTTTTGATAACTGGAGTGGAGTGTTAAATTTTTAAACAAGTTATTATAAATATCAATCCAGTAGTGTAATAGCCCATTGTTTAAATGTATTGCGAAAATGTACTTCCTCATATACAGTAGACTCTTGATAACTTAATTCGAAATTGGTGGGCCAAGCATATAAATTTGAATTATCAAGAGTTTTGAACTATCAAGAGTTCGATTTATCGGGAGAAAAATAAACCATTCAAATTACAGAGAGTTCATTTGTTTAATACATACAAAGGTACAGCACGTTACAATAAAACATCGTACCGTATTTTAGTACACTTTAAAACAATCAACGGCTTATTTTTCAGTTACTGTAGTTGCAAAGAAATCTGTTATTTAGCGCTATATATTTCGCCAATAGCTGAATTATCAGCTGTCGACAACTACGTTTGTGCTCAAGATGTCGCGCAATCTAGAGATCGGATTGCCAACTTAGAAAAACAAGTCAGCGAACTAACTCTGACTACTGCTCTAACTAAACAAACATCAAAACGTCCAACACTAGCCTACCATGGGAACAGGATGTACTGTACTGTATAGTTTCCTGTTATAACAGGAAGAGATCACTTAAACTTCGAATTACTGTGTGACTTTGATTTATAGAGTGTTTTATCGACGAAACTTCAAATTACAGCATGACTTCGAATTATAGAGTGTTAACCGACGAAACTTCGAATTACTGAGTTACTTCGAATTATAGAGTGTTTTTCCGACGAAACTTCGAATTACTGCGTGTTACAAATTGACCTGCCCTCTATTTGGACTTTGAAATACCGAGTGTATCAAAATGCATGGTAAAAATTTGAAATATTGAGAGATTCTCTAGGGACTGAGCCTTCATTTTGAATTATCGAAAGTTTTGAATTATCAAGTGTTTGAATTACCACGAGTGGACTGTATATATATAGTGTAGTGTCATAAAGTTATGTTCCAACACCTATATGATTGTGAGACTGACCACAATTGGGTTTTCCTCGGGTTCGAGAGTTGGGCAGTTCAACCCCGTGTTTGTCCACACACCAACACATGCCGACTGAGGAATGACATTGCGTTGCCTGGTAGTAGCCCTCACTGTCACACTCAGGCACGTACACACCTGCATATCACATAACACACTACTGTACATTCAAGCAAGTATTTACAATCAAGGCTTCATTATACCCTTAAATTTAGGATTTTGTTAAAAGTACTTTCTCAATGTCCTTTTTCAGGTTATGTCATTTTATGCAATTTCAGCTGTTTTTGTTAAGTTATAACATTGGATTTTGGAGATAGGCTAGACATGCTATCTCTATAGAACATCTTTCACAAATTTTTCATTAAAAAATAACACAATTGAATGAGCCAGTCACAGAGTGCACTAGTGTCTAAAATTCAAATTTTTGTATTGCTAAGATAGTTTAAATGGCATGGAAAATTATATAGCTTACAAAGTTGCCCTATCAGTTTGACCTCGTTAAAAAGTCTGCACAATCAGCAGAAATCAGTAATTTATACCATCGCAATCAGTTTGTGGGAACTATACATCCTACATTCAACTACATTCATTTTGATTCAAAAACTGGTGACAACTTTAACATAGGGATGGAATGTCTAGTTTTATCAACAGTCAAACATTATGCTTGCACAAATAGTTGTATGTGAAAGTTTAATCATGTTACTCTTGATGGCAGACTAGTGGGAATGCCAGAAATACAGGATATAACTGAAAGGGCTAATAATAGGCCATTTTCCTGAGTAAAACATTTCAGCTGGTTGACAGAAAAAAAAACTCTGCCAAATAGGTCAATACTTTTATTGATACCCGGGAAGGATCATTCAGTGTAAAAAAGCCCCATGCTAAAGCATTTCTCACCAACCAAAAGTTATGACTCATTAAAACGCCTTACAGTCATTGCTCCACTCAATCTATTTATCAAGATTACTGTTTTCAAAAGCCTAACAAACGTTTTTAACATTGTGTTTGGAAGCTCTAGAATATGAGGGCATTATTATTATAAAATTGTCAATAGTACATAAACTATTATTACGTTAAACAAATTAACGTAACATGGTGTGTAATGCTTTAAATTGATTTGTTCCTTCTAATTTATCTTGTGATTTAACTGAAAAAAAAAAAAAAAAAAAAAAAAAAAAAAAAACTACAGTAGAACCCCTCATATCCAGCCTCGACTCGACAAAAGCAGCACAAATAAATGTTCTTACTTGTAAAAAGAGTGTATTTGCTCCTCCCGATATTCAACTTTTAGTCCGTTCCGACCATGCCCCGGTCCCATGGTCAGATATGAGTAGTTCTACTGTACTAAGTAATCAGTATAAAGTTTTTGAGGGAGGGATGGGCAAAAGTATAGTGTGTGTGTGTGATAAGTGTTAAAACAATATTAATTGATATTATAAAGTTCTTGAAGGAACTTAGGAGTGTTTAGTGCTCATTACCAATGTTGGATGTGATTCTCCTCTTCACTGCAGCACACGGCCTGTCAGTCTTGTCAAAGCACTTGCACCATTCATGAGGGCTCACAAAAATGTCTCTATAAACAAAATGAATTGGTTAACACACCATAGTAAAACTATCATTACTTAATAAATCCATCACAAAGGAAATGACAAATTATATTTGAACAAGCTTCATGCCATATTTTATAAAATTCCAACGTTTTAATCAAATTATGTTTTACAATATATAGATCCAGACGGGCATCCATTAAATTTGTAATTTTGGCTCTGTATTGTTTTAATTCAAAGTGATTTATAACTGGGTATGAACCGTATTACTAATTTTAAAGGGGTTTTTATTAAATGATTGTTACATTTTGAGATGCTATATAAGATGTTGAAATGGAATACACTAAAACCAATTTTGTAAATAGACGAAACTGCAAGAATTGTGGTTCTAGAGATGAAAATATCAGCACCAAAATATTACAATGCACGAACCAAAACCGCAAAGAAACTTTCTGCCTTATGTTTCGTAAGAATTTCGTTGATTTTGTCTGTTTTCATTGTAACATATTTTATTTTGTTACTTTTAGATAACTCTGGAAAATTGCTCGTTATGACTAAATCAAAGCCAGTAGGTAGTTGAACATAAATTAAAAACGCTTAATATTTAGATTTGCAAATCTGAAAGGAATAAGTTGTAGGTGACCTGTCAGTGTCACAAGCGTCCAGGAAGGGTTTGATGCAATGTTCGTTCTGGTCATGTTCAAGGTCGTACAACTCCTGCAGGGACAGCTGTGAGTCAGAGTCAATGTCAAGGTGTTGGAACATCCAACGAACCTCTCCCTTGCAACTCACGGGGAACCGACCTGTCACAGGTGAAAACATCAGTAGGTTCATAAATCATTGTTTCTCTGCTAACACATCTCCACTCCTCAAAAGTGAGAGTTAGGATGACTTCAAACAGATTGGGTATTTGTTTTGTTGGTTTTTTAAACCCATTCAAATACAGCTCTACCATTATATTTTTAGAAAATACAGTCATTACATGGTGGTTCTAAAACCGTAACTGAAAACTATGTCAAATACACTTTAAGTCAAAAGAGGTCAGTCGTAATTGTTATTCTGAAGCCTAAAAAAGTTTTTTAAAACACATTTAAGACTCTATAGGATTCCTATTAAAATGACTGGTTCCATTTAAAGCTAATCGTGTGCATGGTGTTTGGTAAACATACCTTTGCCCTTGTTGTGGGTGCGCCTTCGCTTGGCATCAGCCATGATGACACTGAACCAGTCCAGTAGACGGTCGCCCATTGCCTGAAGAGCTGCAGGACTGCAGTCCTTGGTCCAGGCTCCGGCTGCGGACGTTGGCTTTGTGTCAAACACCTCGTTGTCTCCTCGCATGCGCTCCTTGTCCTCGTAGTAGGGTGGGTTGGTCACACTGTATACATCCTGCTACAACAATTAATAGATCAATTGTTTATAACTAATTGTGTTTTGTTTAAATTTCAAAAGAGTTACAATTTAGCTCCTTTGCTATCCAAATGACAAATAATGTATGCACTTTAGGTTTTAAGGTTTAAAATTGAATCAAAAGATTTTATTCAATTTTTTCACCATTCACGTGAAAAACTCACATTACAGAAATGCCATTTTAATAACATTGTAACATCAAACAAACATCAAACTTTGGTCATATAGTTAGCAATGCTTATGGCTGTAATTGAAAGACTGCAGCTTCAAAATGAATTTAATCTCAAACGTTTTTAGAACTTTAGGTACCTAGTTTAAAAGGATTAAATTAAATTAATCCAAACTCTTATATCAAAATTGTTTACATCCAATTTCTGAAAATCAGGAAAATCTGGGGTTCTTATGCTGCCTGGTTGCAATGGGTCCATACTATATAAGTGTAAATATTAAATGTTGTTACAATGGTGACTCTTGTCCGACTACCCTTATATGATGCAACAAAGTAACACAGCACCTGTGTCAAGTGTTGCAAAGTAATCTATTAAATGCAATGGTTGTTACACTTGGGTGTGGTTTCATCCAGCGAGCACATAATAATAATAATAATAGAGAGGACACGGCGTTTAACCAAATGCACTGAAAGTGTGGCCAAATCCGCCATCTTGGTCCGTCATACAGCCTGAATCCAAGACCCGCGAGCTCAGTTCGCATTAAAAACCCCGCGACAAATACACGATCATAAACAACATTAATAGTTGACAAAAAATTCTGAAATTTTGCACACTTGTAGATATGATACTGAGGAAAACGATGGTGTTAATATAAAATTATTAGTTATGATAGTAATTGAGTTATAAATACATATAATACTTATGTAGTTTAATTTTTCAGATTCAGACATGAAAAAGTTGTATTGCGAGGAAATTTTTTATTTTTTGGTCAGAGAAATTTCGTCAGCGGGAAAGTTGCGGATAAATAACCAAATTTAACTATCCGATTCACCAAAATTTTTTATCATGTTCGGTTTTCTTAAAAATCAGGTACAAAAGGGATCCATTGCCGCTGCTCCGCGCCACGCCCGCTGCGCCGCCGGGCCGTCGTCTATGCATTTAGCGTGCAGTGTTTTAATGTTTTATACTGTTGTACTGTAATATTGTATATATTAAAGAAATTTTCAAATATATTTTCTATGTCGAATTTTCAACCGTTTAGCACAACTTTTTAAGGACTAATTAGCTTTCAATATCATCCAAGATAAACTAAAGATAATTCTGTAGGTTAAATTAAACTTCCCAAATATATTTGTAAAATTACACTTAATTTATTGTCCCAGAAAAATTACAGTTTTATTGAGATGTTGCCTGATTTTATTTTTGTGAAGACTTTCGTTACTTATTTAACAGTAGTAGCGAACTCTAACATTGAAATATTTTTGAGCAATAATTTTAATTAGGTACTAAACAAAAATGATTTTTGTCCATATTGTTTCATATCCTGAGAAATATGTACTATTTGGTAACAAATTTACTCCTACGCATTGTCCAAGTACTTTGTTCGTCAAGTCCTCAATTACATTGTTTTCCTTTACACTAATATCATTAACTTTATATCTACACTATTCTCATCAAGCATAGCAGACGACTAGCGCGCTGCACACGCCGGGACTACTGTCAGGGAAATAAATATGTGCTTGAGTTTGAGCCTAAATATCTCTTGAGATTAATTATCCGATTTTGTTGAGACAAAAATTAAATATTAGCTGGTTTAAATACATTTTACGTGGTAACAATTAAAAAAACTTCCGTTTACCAGAAAAATTTGTACAGTTGAAAGATTCTAAAAAGTACCGGTTTTTAAGAAACTCTGCACTAACACTGAAGTTTAAAACTTAATTGTAAACAAACCACTAAACCAATCTTTCCGAAATTTGTATGGCTTATTGGTAGATTTATTGTTAACAGTTCCATGCATTTTAAAATTTTAACTCACGATAGTTTTTATGCTGATGCTTATTTTTAAAACGTATGCTAACATCGTTAATAAGACGCTAAAAATTTCGTTCAAAATACCATCGTGTTTGTCGTGACACAAGAAATAACACCAATATGACAGATTAATAATGCGAACAAAGGTGTTTTTTTAAACAGATATATATTTGTAAACAAAAATTTCTCCCGCAACTGGCCGGCCGATTGGCTCAGTGGTTTGTTTACAATTAAATTTTAAACTTCAGTGTTAGTGCAGAGTTTCTTAAAACCCGGTACTTTTTAGGATCTTTCAACAATATAAGTTTTTCTGGTAAACGGATTTTTTTATTGCTACCACGTTAAATGTATTTAAACCAGCTTATATTTCATTGTTGTTTCAACAAAATTGGATTATTCATCTCTGAGATATTTAGGCTCAAACTCGAGTGCACATATTTATTTCCCCGACAGGTAGGCTAGCGCCGCCATCTTTGTCCGTTTCGTCGGCTAGTAAGACTGCCACGCTCCTGCGCTCCGAGTAGCGCTTCTATTTTGTTATGTGTTCGCTGGTTTCATCCCCTTTGTCCTCTAATTGCCAAACAATCTTGTGGCGACGTCCAGGTAATTGCTCTTTGACAGATCATTACTATTCGCAAACCACTTTTGATGTTATTCTTCTACTCTTTGTTCAATTTGAATACAGAGTGGTCTTTCATAATGAAATATGGTGTAATGAATAATGGATACCGTATTTCTATTCACGAGTTAATATAATTGATAAATGGGCAAGTTTTGAGGTTGTACAAGAGATCAGTGTTTATAAAGGTTTCATGAATTTTTGTTTCATTTTACAAGTGTATAAAATCTCTAACTAGGAAAAACAAAATAAAAATAAATTTTAACAATTGAAATATAAACTTCTCTAGAGTATAATGTAAGATGACAGTGACTACTTACCTTGGAGATTTTATTGTCATGTTTGGTGTACTTGATGTACTTGTAGTGCTTGTTCTCATATTTGAAGTCCTGAGGCGTGAATGTGTACTTGTCAGCTACAGACTGTGACTTGTCAGACTTCTGTTTGTCAGTTCCAACGGTGTTCTTGTACTTGGTCATGAAGTTGGACATCATCTCTGCCTGCTTCTGCTTCTTCCTCATGTGAACATCTCCATCTAAAGCAAAAGTAAGGTAGGTGGTACAGAGGTCCTATACTACTGTATAACAAGGTTTAAATAGCTGCAATATCAGAAATCCTATATAGTTGCAATCGTGATGGGCTTGATATAACTTCATATAGTATCTTCATTAAATTAAGTTACCTACCCCTAAATAACAACAAAGATAACCATTTAAAAGTTTAACAAGGTCAATTCTGATGATTAATAAGTGCATACAATCTCCTGGCCAAACCCCTATAGTGTGCATCTCATAAACTAAACCTATATACTAACCTCCTTCCCAATACATCTCAGTTCATTGGCTTGTACGCCAACTAAAGTCGGCTTGAATGAAGAACGTGTTTAAAAATTAATCGAACATTGAATTTTTACAGTGAGGAGAACTTATGATTTTAGTTTTAAATTGATTACATTTTTACAGTTTGAAAACGTTCAAATTTTGACAAAACTTTAGGTTACAAAAGTGAAATTAATGGTCAGATAGCTAACCTTTGCATGGACAGAAGCCCTTGCAGAGAACCTTGATGTTGGTGTGGTGCAAGCAGTTGTGGTAGTCGAGCCTGCAGAGTGAGCTGTACGTCCGATTGTCTGTACCACAGAGGAACGTAGGCTTCACTATGGGACAAGGGTAGCACTCCCTGCAACAATATACATTGATGGGTCAAGTAACATATCTGACTTTCTGAAAATTACATTACTTTAGGACCAACATCAATACACTTAGGTAGTGAAATAATTGATAACAACAAAGGGTATAACAACTAATTAATGTACCTAAAAATACACTGAACTATAATGTTGGCAGGTAAAATACATAAATTGTGACACATACACAATTATAATATCAAACTTCGTTCCTAGCTAGTTCAAGTTAATGTTTTAATTGAACAGAAAAACAGTCCAACACAGGATATTTTATATTATTTCCAATATACATATAATTTTTAACTGTATTGAAATTAATTAGAATTTCAAACATTTCAATATTGAAACCACGGATAAAAATAGTATATTTCATCACTAGGGCCTAAAGTGACCCAAGCGCAGAGGTCGGAAGATGAGCGCGCATTTGCCCGCATGATGAACTATGATTTTTGTGATATTGCACCATTATTTAAACAAACTATGTTACAAAACTGAAATAGTTTTCATTTAAAGATAACCTCTGAAAACTTCTTCTAGCTTATTTTCAATTTAATTTGCAAATGGAAACAAGCAGCTTTTTAGTAAGTGATTCAATCATTTTGTCTATTACGATTGTGTTAGCGTACATTTATACTATTGATATGTCGATCTATTTACATTAAGGCAACAATAAACTACAATCGATACATACTTTCGATATATGAAATAGTGTACAATTAAAATTTACAACTGAGTTGACAACAGCTGATTTTTACTCCCTAGGGGCTAAATACAACTTTTACTCACTAGAGAGTAAAAATGCTACTTTAGACCCGAAATTTGAGCTCGGGTCGAAAAGAGTGTCTTTAGGACTTAGTGATGAAATAGACTACATATCCTTATTATCAATGTAAACATATTTTCAAAAGATGAAGTTATAATGTAAAGTGAAATTATTATTGTTAAGTTTTAGTAAATTAAATGTAATTTATACTTTTATGACGAGGTAAAGGAGGTTGTGTGCACAAAAGAGGACAAGAGCTGGAATAATCAGCGGTGTTGTGGTTAAATGAAGGTTGTTACGAGTATAAAGCCTCACCTGAAATCTTTGAGGGCAGATCTTTTGTACAATGTGTGACAAAGAAAACAGAAACTCCACTCCCTTTATGAATAGTGTATGCAACCCTTACAGTTTCTTGGCATTATATCTTTGGAAAAATAGTTAGTAAGCAAGAATAATTTTTGACATGATTGTATAGTATGATGATTATTTTAATTTTTATAAAAAAACCTGTTTTTTCAAAATAAAAACTTTGGTGAAAACAGACTTTTACCAGGCACAAAATAATCAGGCACACTATCTAGAGATCTAGAGTAATGTTCTATTAGAGAGAATCACCTAGTTAAACTTTTCCAGGACTGTTTCCAACTTTTTGTGCATAAAAGAATGTGAATTATTCTCTATGTGAACTGATGTAATAAAACTGGCTGGAACTATTAAATGTTGATTATATATTTAATTCAGACACAACATGCTTGGAGAAGTTGTAGGAGTTACACTTTCTGCCACATTAGCCAAAATCAGCAGCTTTCCCTGATAGATGGGGTGGCCAAGTTAGATTAGTTTTCTTGCCGAGTTTCATATTGCCGCCTGGATTCCCTTTTCTATTGTCTTCTTCATTCCATGCAAATTTCCTGACTAGAACTAATCTCTCCCTCTGCTCAGTTTCAAAAAATCAATAACCTTATGACATGTTCTTACACTTTTAAACTAAGTTCTTTTTACACTCCGCAGGAAAAAAAACTTTTTTATTCATCCCTATCTCCATTTCTTTGATTCAACATTAGCATATGACAATTTGTTTTACAATTTCAATTGGTGGCCTCACTTATTTTTTAGAGACTAACAAATATATCCACTAGTTCACATAAATTACACAAAATAAATTTGTTTAATGTACAGCGACCACTGAATGTACAAATTATTATAAAGCTTATCATTAAGAAATTTTTTTCTCCAAACCTACTCATTAAAGGCTACACCGCGTGTTACACCTGGGTAAACGTGGCTTGCTGTGTAGGCCTACATTCTGCATCCTGTAGCTCCTAAACGAGTATGTTTGGAGAGGTAAACAATAGTTATTTTACCTACAGTCACCTGACAAATTTTGATTCCTTGCACTGTTTGTAGTACAGAAAGCTGCTAATTGCTGCATTTACTTACTTTGGTGCACAGTTTTTACTTTGTCGCACACCAGTATTCCAACCAAACAACACAAACAGTGTGCTTTTATTATGCACATAATCCCTGTATGCTTGGAAATAGGTTGGCAACACTTAAAAATATTACAACTACGATCAGCTGGAGCAGGGTTTCCAATTTTGTTCAATGTTTGAATTTAGCCTAACCTAAAACAAGTTTTACAGTGTTTGAAAGAGTAATTGTTTATATGCTTTATAGTAACTATAGGAAAAGTATAATATGTAATGCGAGTGCAAACTGACTTTACTGCACTCAAGAAACTTTCCACACTCGCTTGTGCGTAAACATTTCTCTCGTATGCAGCAAAGTGCCACTTCGCCCACTAGTAACACAAATAACTATTTAAATCTTTGTTAATAAATATTTTCTACTATTCATGAGATGGAATTTTTTAACTCTTACACTTTATAAATAAAAATGTCTTATATTAACATTGTCTACATAATTGCACCCAGAACCACAGTAATGATTTTCATTTTGTAATTTGGAGCTACACGTAAAAACATCTGGAAGGCTGAATAAAATAACATGTACGAGGTAGAAGTAATGGTAATTATTTTCCATAAACATGACAGTGTGAGTTTACAAAACAATAAACCTGAAAGGAATAACACAACTTGTTTTGATGATTTATGACTGCCACAATCGACTGTGGATTTGACAGCCTCTATTCAACAAATAGTTCAAAAGATCTCACTATGAAGATTTTGGACATGACAATTTTCTGCTTTAAACAAAATTTAAAACTGTTTATTTTTCATTGCAAAATTATAGCATTATTTTACTTATAGTCAAATTTAGGAATAGATATAACTAATTTGGTTTTATAAAACCACATTAAAAAAGAAGATATTTCTAGCTTGAAAGAAAAATAATGAATAAACTATAAACAATGATAATAATCGTTAAGTTTTTTACGGTATGTGAAATGTAAGTTAGCCTTTAAAGGAAATAAAACCATTCTGTTTCTTTAAAATTCTAAACAGGAAATAGCTTATAACTAATCTAATCCAAAACTAAAATTTTAAAGTCAAAGTATATTTTTTCAGAGGCCTGGCCTAGAATAATTTTGACATTATCTTAGCTAATAGCTGCATGATAACCTGCGGTTTCTTGAACTACAAGACTACATGCCTATCAGTAGAGAAAGAACTTTATCTGTATCGGAGTACTATCTTCATTAAAACCATTTTATGATAATTCTATTCAATCATTACTTCCAAAACTTAGAAAAATCAACATCAAAAAGGTGTATGATATTCAAACAAGTGTTTGTTCATTGCAAAACCTGGGACTGGGGACACATTAATACCTCAATCTTATCACTCAAGTGAAACTATTGAGTAAAGAGTTCAGCTATTCATAACTCATTTATTTGTAGTTAAATAAAGAAAACAACATTAGCTCCCAATAACAGCGGCTGCTCATCTTTTTTATGAACAAGTCATATCAAGTAATATAAGCATCGTTAATACTTAAACACTTTACTTTGAAATGGCGACCATACCTCCTCATGTATCCTAGATCCAAAATTAAATGTTAGATTACTGTAACGCAATTACAGGTAGAGGAGTATGCCAAAGTGCCATGAGCCTCCCACCACTTTCCCGACCCTTCCTCCTCCAGTCCTTTGTGTTACAAGGGCTGTTATCTTAATGTCAAAGAACAGCTGACGATATTATGTCTGAATTAGCTCCTCTTGTGCCATGTTAACTATTTGATTTGTAGAGAAAAATGTAAACAAGCTGTAAAACAAAACATTTGTTTAAACATAAATAAATAATATTGAGTTTAAGAAACAAGGAAAATAGATATAATAAAGTTATTAACACGGATTTTAGACAGTTTTGTGAATATTATTGTCCATACAAAATTACGAATGAGAATGACAGCCATAAAATGATGGCTTTAGATTTTGGTTTCCGTGGCCTGAAGATGGTATTTATAAATAGCTTGGCTGTAAGCCGATGTCACACAATTGCATCACTAGATTGTGGAATTTGCCACTTGTTGTGTGACAGTTGAGAGTGCAAGAATGAGTGTGTTGACCCATTCACTCTTCACTATTCCAAGATTAAATCGTACATTTTTATCTAATTCGTAAAGTTGATAAAACATGAATGACTTATGTAGAACAACAACATATTTCCTAAATCTAATTCACATGTATGTATCATTCTATTATTTGAGTAAATGGGGAATGATTTAAAACTTAAACGTCTTAAACTAAAATACAATACCTATGTTGTATTTCATTTAAGGCCGCTGGATTTTGAGCTGGCACATGACTCTGTGTAATATACAACCAGAACCACTGTCATGTCATGTCCAGGGCCAGTGAGCAGCTGAAATACTGGACCCTGAAACTCGCATTGCAATAGTGACTTCTGACACCACTTTTGAGACTGTGACTAAGTTACGACCAATTTATATCCTGTTTCTATAGGTACGTACAGTGTTTGTATTTGATTTTAAAACAGTAGGGAGTATTTTCATCAGATATTTTGTAAACTTTGGATTCATCATATTCACAATCTTGCTTTGCAAACTCCAACAGAAAAATGTATGTTGCAGATATAACAAAAAATAATTTTGGAATCGTAAAATAATAGCATAAGTTGGTAATATAATACAAATAAAGATTATTGTTTACTATGTTTAAGGAATTTTTCCATTGTCTGTGCGTACTGAATACATAAATGTAACTTATAATTTACCTATGCTTATAATTTTCAGGATGATAACATGACA